TACACAAAATAAAAAAAATTGATGGGCAATAATGTAATTTCACATGTTCAAATTTTACTATTTTTATTGAAGCCTCCCCTACAGATGATGTTAAAACACCTCCAATATTAAAATTTAAAAAAAAATTACCAAAAATAAAAAACTCCCACTCTCCCCACCTTTTCTCTCTCTCTCTCTCATTCTCATTTTCTAAAAAAATGTGTTCGCAAATGCTAATATATATATAATCTATAGTTTATAGATTTCTATTTTCTATTTATATATATATAATAAAATTATATAGAATTCTAAATCATAAAAATATTTATCAATTTCCCCTCCTCAAACGGGATTCAAGGCACTTGGTGCGATGGCAAGTGCCTTCGCCCATGAGCGGTAGGTCTCGGGTTCGAGCCTTGGGAGCAGCCACTCCATAAATGGGGGTAAGGCTAGCCGACATTCACCTCTCCCAGACCCTGCGTAAAGCGGGAGCCTTGTGCACTGGGTACGACCTTTTTTTTTTTTATTCTTTCATAACTTAAATATTGTTAAGAGCCTCCCGGTGTGAAAACAACAAAGTTTGTGATGTTGTTCTAGATAAGGAAGTCTTTGTTATGAATGTACTAAAAACAAACGAATTTGTGTATTGATAAGACTAAAAAAGAATACTTACCAAAAATATATGATCCTTTCTTCAATAGACCCTACCATGGACGAATCATAAATTTTGAACGATGTGTGATTAGAGATTTGGTGGGTTTAAATGATATGAAAATTTTCTATTCAGTCATTGATGATTGGTAAGATTGAGATTATAAAGTGTGAGAAAGAAAAAATACTTCCAAATTGATGTTACGTTCTTATCTGATGGCTGGTCAATGGTTTCGTGTGCCTATCAACAATGCACAAGATGAACAAAACAAGAGTGTGGTTCTTGGAGTAAAGGAACAAAACAATCATCGTCAACGACATTGCAGAATCTACAGGGAACTAGACTAGGAAGACAGAGTGGAAGCAAATACGGTTGGCTAGAGACAAGGCAAAACAAGACAACTGTAACCTCTGTAGATATATTCCATGAGATCTTGCATTTCCCCTTTATATACAACTTCTGTTCTGAGACCATTGGCATAAGAGTTTGGACTCTACGGTTAACCCCGTTTCGATGAATTCTTAAGGGGTTGCATAGAATCTAACAATCAGCTTCTTTACTCTGATGACTTGTCATGAACTTGCTTCTTTTTCTTGAAATGGGCTTGCATCTCTGAGTTTCTTAGGAGGTCATTTTTTCTGTCATGCTTTACTAGCTCCGCATTCTCGGAGCAAATACAATGTTTTGAAAGGGGCCTATCATCTTCTTTTTGCTAATTTCTTCTTGTCTCTATTACCATTTCGTATATCATGTTCATGTTTCACCCTGCATTGACACTACCTCCTAACATTTACCCCGCTTATGATGTTTCCGCTGCACTTTTTGGTAGCTGTAGTGGATTCGCTTTGACAATAGAAAGCGCAAATGTAACCAACATGACCAAATCCAAAAGCTACACAATGAGTTACATAGGATTGTACATTATGAGTTGCACTACGAGAATATCGTTCCCACAACGCCAGAGCATGAATTGGCGTAGGCATGGTTCTTACTATACCCTAAGAGTGTGCCGAACATATAGCCTTAGTATATCACTTGGAAACCATAGTGTGACTACGTGAACTTCTTAGACCTATAGACACGCACACCGACATAAACATAAGGGAATTTGGATCATACTTGTTAGTATTGATTTTCATCACCACTATTATCTCTAAAGAGATTCATATTTCGGTCTAATAACAGGTTAAAGGGCTATCCCCTGAAGAACTAGAAACACGTAGTGACCTGGTTTTTACACTGCCTGAGAGGATTCAGGAGATTCCAGATGGAACAGAAGCTGCAGCCAAAAAAGCTGGGGGTTGGGGAACTTCAGCATCCCATAAAAATATCAAATTTGATTCATCAGGTAATCAATGATTTTTATTCCTTTTTTTATTTTTCTGGTGTTATAGTTTTCAATGAATGTGGCCTTTTGATAGATTATTAATACTAATGTGTTTCCTTACCATTCAGATGGGAACCTTGAAAGTGAATTTTTCCAGCAAACTGAAGAATCGAGTCAATTCAGGAAGGAGTATGAAATGCGGAAAATGAAACAGGCATATAACGTTCCTGATTAATTTAGTTTCTTTTACATATGTTCTGTGAGGCAAAAGAAAGTTATTTTGTCGGACAGTTGCTTGTGACTCTTGCGGTACATCACTGCTGTCATTTTGATTGATGAGTTCTCACTTGTGCAGGATGAAGGTCTAGATATCATCTCTGAAGGATTGGGTACTTTGAAAGATTTGGCCCATGATATGCATGAGGTTGGTTGATGCACATAACTCTGTTTCGTTTTCTTATTAGACTAATTCAGACATTGATCGTTGTTTCAATATGTTCAGGAAATGGATCGACAAGTCCCACTAATTGATGAGATAGATACAAAGGTGAGATTTTCTTCTCTAACTAGAATTCTAATCTTTCCAGTGACACCTGGGAGAATAATGTTGCAAAGATCTTATTAGTTCATTACTTAGTGACGGAGTTTTGATGCTTTTACAGGTGGACAAGGTTACATCTGACATAAAAAGTAATAATGTTAGGCTTAAGGAAAATCTAATCAAGGTAATTGTACCTACCTTAATGATCAGTTTTAATTGTTGCATCATACAGGCAGGGTTCTAATAATGAGAAACTTGGTTTGTTTTGCAGGTGAGGTCGAGCCGAAATTTCTGCATTGATATTATTTTGCTTTGTATTGTTCTGGGAATTGCCTTCTATCTATACAAGTAAGTATTCTCTCTGTCTTTTTACTGAAAAAACCTAAACTCGTACGTAGTCCCCAAATGCTAAGAAACATAGAGTTAAACATTCTGTCAAATTGGTTTTGTGTTCCGCAAAATAACTCAAAAAACATTTTAGGCCACATTTATTTCATGGGGTTGTCTAAGAATTGGTTTTGCGTGTTCTGAATGCTTTAAATATGATACTAGTTCAAATTTTCTTATTGGAGACTTTTCTTTCCTCGAGTAAATGAGATATTCTACTGTTTTGTTTGCAGTATACTGCGATGAAGTTACTTTAGAAGGACTTCAGCAGCTTATCGGACCATATCTGCTGTGGTATTATATTCTTCCATTTCTCAAGGCTTTGCTTGTATCACTTTAACATTTTCCGTTTAAGTTCAACGTTAATTATCTAATCTAGCTACTTGAAGATGATTATATATAGTTTCTTGCTCATCATGGTGGTCTTTCTGCCAACAATGTGGAAAATTTGTAGTTTAGAGTTCATTTATGTATTTACTTGTCATTCAATGAACTTACTGAGCATCAATTTGACTTTATACAATCTGTAGTTAGAAAGTTATCTTGATCCAAATCCATACTGTTAGTAGTAAAAGAATTTATAACCCAATGAAAGGAAAACAAACTGAACTTATATGATAATTACTGATATTATTGAAGTATTCGACAATTCATATTATTGCATCCGAGAAGTGTTTATTTTCATTCTTTTATCCCCATCCTTGATCAAGCATAAACTTTCGTATATAGGAATGCGACTCTAGATACATTTTTACGAGGGCGGTAATATCCCCGACCAGGAGAGCATTCTCGACATAAACAGAGTTAACTAGCAATAAATGTAGATTATTGAACTGATATTTACCATCCAGTCTGGAGGCCAAATCGATACCATGCTTTGTACACCTTGCTTACACTTCATGCTGTACAGCCTGAAACTATTGCCTCCTGAATGTGTTCTTACGTCAAGCCACATAGCTTTCATCAAAGACTTCATTACTAGAAGTACGTAGCTAGGAAGGACATTTCATTAAACTCCTCAAAGTTGGCAGGAACCATTGGATTTGCTTTAGGTATGTCATTTTGCAAGTCGTTTGGTATGTAGCAGTTGACAACATTGCCAGCTGCTAGTCTCTTGCTAGGCAGAACATTCCCATATTTGTTCTTGCTTTCTAGATTTATCAGTGGAAAGAGACTTTCTTTTGTATTTTCTTCTCTAATCTTCCTTTTTAGGGTGGAACTAATGCCCGAAGAAGAAATTGATATTGTGGATTTTACCTTATTATTTGAACCGACTTCACAGTTATCTTTGCTCCCTTGAAAGCTCGCACTTGAATTGGTCTCTATCGGTGATGGAGCTGGACCGGCGAGCATGAAAGCTAATAGTCGACAGTCTTTGTATAGAAAATCTGTGATTAAATCAGCACGATGGATTGGATCTGTAGGCTGTGTCGGCCCAGCTTTTGGTAGGCACCTCCAAGATTCAGTGTTGTAGATGTCTTGAGCGTTGCATGTGTTCTTTGTTGTGTTTCCTCGCTGTTGAACTCGACATAGTACCCAATCATCCAACTGTTATACAACAAGAAGCATTTTTATATTATTGCCTTTGGTCACATTGTTTTGATCAAAGTCGATGTATGAACTGGATAATTGACTGAGTCGTAGGTCAAAAAAAAAAAATGAAGACGGCTTAAATAGTTAAATCGAAGCATGGACTGAAGCAAGGTTCTTGAAGATGTTAAAAGTTTAGTACCTCTACCATCTGTGTTTCACTTTTAAAAAACACAATAGTTATAGTACAAGGCAAGATCAAGTATGTTGAACTCTAAGGGAAAAGCTAGGTTTGCACGATAATTTGGTAGAGTATGGTGACTCTAAACAGTTGATGGGTGTGGGGATTACTCTCATCAATGGTTATTAGGCATGCAGACATGTGAGCGACTGATGCTAGCATTTCCCGCTTGTGAAACAATGTACAGTATGTATTGGTTGATTAGTAAGCGTATGCCTTTTAACTGGTTTGTTCCATCGTTTTGAGATACATATATATAATATGCAATCTCAGTATCTCATTCTATCCACTTACTCTCATAGAACCTTTTGACCTTGAGGGGTTAATCGTACTGTCGAGCAGTCTACTCGTTCATGAGCCACTCAGTCTTAACTCCCTTTGGAGCTCGACCTGTGTAAAAGACTAAAGCCTTCTTCACTCCTATCAGCTCCGATCCACAAGAAGTGAGAATTGGCTTGTCACCTCCAGCAGCCTTCCAATAACCCAAAGCTGCTGCTCTATTAGGCCTATCCCCATTCGGATACTTCCGGTCCCTCGGGCTGAAAAAGTACCACTCATCTTCTCCAAACAAAGCCTTGTCTGCAAAAAACCAAGTAATGAAACAAACAATTATAAAACATATACACTTGGCTATTACTGTGTAATCCAAATCGAAGGATTAACCATGGAGGAATGAAATGAGTGAATGCTTCAGTACTGACTGGGTAGATCCCACGGATTATACTTATACAGATCGATCTCCGTGATCAACTGCGCTGGAAGAGGATACGAAATCATTTTGTTTCGCAAGTAATGAACAATGAGTTCTTCGTCTGATGGATGGAATCTGAAACCAGGAGGCAATTGCAGAGTTGAAGAAGTCGTGAATGCGGGTTCTTTCTCCATCGAAAGCGCAGTTTTTCCTTGGACAACGAGGGAATGCAATAAGAAGCAACGATAATATCAACCTAAAACAGTTGTAGATGGAATAGGAAATGGTGTGAGAGGCATTATTTATGTGCATTTTTCATGCAGATGCGGACATTACATGAGAAAGTTACAACAACAAATCCTTATCCACCAAATGGATCGGCGGTAGGAATTCTAAAAAGCCACTGCGTTTGGTTTTGCGCTAAGTCTTATGTTAACTCCAAGTACTCCATGTCTTTTCTTAAAGTCTTTTTCCAAGTCTTCATAAGTCTTCATCTACCCTTTTTGCCATGAGTTTCTATCTTATAATCGCATTTTCTAACCAGACCATTTGTAAGCCTTCAATTCACATGTACAAACCATCTTAACCAATTTTCTCTCATCCTATATTCAATTGCGACCACTCCTACACAATCTTGAATATCCTCGTTCTTAATTATGTTATTTTTCGTGTGCCCACATATCCAGCGAAGCATTCTCATCTCCACTACACGCATTTTTTGGGCATGGTACTCCATTCCGTGTAATAAAGCATTGTTGGCCTTATTGGCGTACTATAAAATTTTCTCTTTAGCTTTAGTGATGTATGATGATCACACAACACACCTGATGTACTCTTTCATTTCAACCATCCAGCTTGTATTTTATGTTTGACATCTTCATCCAACCATGCACATTACGTGAGATAGTTAAACCAGAAGAAGGTGTTACGTAATTAAATGTTTGAACTCCAAAGAAAAAGACTTCGAGACAGCTATACCTGTTTGGATTTTCATGCTGGAATATTACATTCTTCGACCAAAACCTTTTTGGATAATATTGGTCCTCAGGCCCGTAGTTAATTAACATTAATTAAAAACTAATCAGAATTAGTTTTGGTTGAGTAGGGTTTCAGTAAAGTGTAGGTTTCCATGTAATTTACCTTAGTTAAAGACAACGTTATGACAGGTAATTTGCATGTCGGATTATGCATGGAATATTTCTTGGGGGAGAACGCAGCTGATCAGGAATCAGTTGCTCATGAGGATAACTTATGAGAACGAAGAGAGAGATTTTTCACGGTATCATGAACACAATTCTGTATATGAATAATACAAATCGTTATTGGATACTTAAATAAAACTTTAAACTACTTATATTATGATACTTGGTGTACTAGTCCTTTTTGTAACTGCATGGTACACCATAGCTTATTAAAATTCTTTGTTTATTGCTTGGGAGAGGTTTTTAATTGTGCAGAGAACATGGCCCCGTACACCAAATATAAAAAACATAATTGATTGGAAACTTTAAAAAAAAATCAGCAAATTATATTATATCATTTGGTGTACTCGAGCTACGTTCTTGGCACACTAAAAAATTTATCGTTGCTTGGAGTTAAGCAGTAAAAGCACTATTTCCCAACTGTTTTAAAACCCAATTGTGCTCCAAATTGGCTGGACTCTGGCTGGACTTAATCGGATTATCAATAGATTCTGTCTAACACTTCGATGCATAGTTTTGCCCGAACCAAGCTTCATGGACAAGCAGTCCACTCTGTGGCAAAGATATAATAAGAGTATCTCCAAATGAGATGTCAAAATTCTAGGTAGAATGTCACTGTGCATATTTAATATAAAAACTCGTTCCAACCGAAGTATTATTTGCTAACTGGATTTGAAGGCTTTGTGATTTAGAGTCAAATTTGACATCAATGTCAAATTATTTTTAATTCATTTTAATAGTGAGTCCCTTATTCCACTAACATTTCAATAAATTGAAATTTTGTTTTAAATTTTTTTTAATAACTACAATCATTTAAAACTCTTTTCAAATAATAAAATAACATTTGATAATTTGGTTGGAGAAGTACAAATTTGACATAGAACTTCAGATTGCCAAATCAGCTATCAATTGTAATTTAACTTTTATAATTTGACATTTTCTTTGAAGATGGTCTAATGTCACCGAAGCATAAACGCTAAACAGTATCTTTCGGCCAGTAAAACATTCCTTGTCCGCAGATGTGATTTGAGCGTCCTACTCTTCAGCCTATTCCTAAGAGTACATGATGATCTTAAGTCAGCGACAATATACTTATAATTCAGTATATATATATAGCTGTAAAGCATGAAAACATTTAATAATATATGAAATTCTTCCATAAGAGAACTAGGTAGGATACTTGTCGTTTTATTCAAATTTTCTCTTGGTATTTATTTCATAAAATATCGTCAGAAATTACAGAAACAAATTCTGGCTATGCATTATATGGTCGGAAAGAATGTGATAACCTTGCTCACGTGCACATAGGATCGCACAAAAGTTGATATGTTGATCAGCTTAGGAGTGTATTCAATTGAGAATTTGAGAGATTTAAATGGATTTATAAATTCATAGATTTTTGTGAAGTTTAATTGATTTGTAGAGATTCTATGTAAAATTTTAATTCAATTCCCTCAAAATCTCATGGGAAGATGTGAGATTTGTGGATATTTAAAATACAGTACGTAGTCTTTTCAATTCCCTCTAATTCCTCAACTTTTTCAAACTCTTTAAAATCAATTTCTAATTTAATACATCTGGAATGTTATAAACTTCTTTAAAATCCTAATTGAATACACCCAAAGTTTTAAGAATTTTAATAAACTATTTTAAATCATGATTGAATATACATTGAATTTCAGAAAATTACTTAAAATCCTGATTGAATACACCTAAATTTATTAAAAGAATTAAAATCCTTCAAAATTCCAATTGAATAATAATAAAGGTGTCACGTTATATGTTAAATGATCTTCTATCTTTATAAGAATTCATAATAAGAAAAAAAATTAAAATTGAAAAGAGAAATATTATAAAATAGATTAAGAGTCAGCAGACAATGGTTAGTTGTTATCATAGCATTTCTAAGACCATCTCTCATTGGAGATGCAAAATGCCTTGAAATGATATATAGAATCTAAATTATCCATCTTCCCCAAAAGATTTATATAAAAATATATATTTTCACCCTTTTTTTAAGGAGGTGAGCTCTGCTGGTCAAAGAGGAAAAAGTAATCTTTTACATCTCTCTCATTGAAGTACAACTCATATTTCATATTTTGGATATGTAAAATATAAAATATATAAATATGGGATTTCTATCTTATATTTGTATTGCTTCGATGTTCTAAGATTCAAATATGTAAATCTACCTTTTTATTTACATTTTTTGGTTAAGATCGAGATTTTGAAGAAGATTCGTGGGGAGAGTTTGGTGAGAGATCAACGAACGACTTCCCACTTTTCCAGAATGATAATGTCGACATCGTATTGGGTTGACAAAAAGTAAAATATTACGAGGATAAAGTTGGCATAGTAAAAAACAACAATTACCCAGGAACATAGTCAATAGGTTTATAAAAAAAAATTACAATTACCTAGGTTACTAATAGATGTTTATGGTATTGAGTTTATGTCAAATTTTATAAGGATTTGTTCTATCCATATCTAAAAATGTTTTTCTTTTATTGCTCAGCTATTTTATCATATTAGATTTCTCTTAACCCCTATATAAGTGAAAGAGTCATGTTATTATGAAAGATGTGGTAGGGAAATTGAACAGGAAATAGTAAATATGGTACGCACCTTATTGTTTATTTACCAATCATTTATAGTACAATATTTAATTACCATTTACCAGGTAAATACTACACAACCTAAAATAAAAGGCTGGTAAATTCCTTATGTCGATCTTTCTTGCATGCAAATCTATCACGGACCGTATAGGTACGTGCATAGGCATGAGGTTCATAATGCTAGTAATTTAGTTGGGGAGTCCAACTCTCGATACCCATTTGGGATATTAGAATTAAAAGCAAAGACTTTATGTACCGATGAAACCCAGGTCTAAATTTGTTTCGACGTATACATGAATTCTCGAACTCTATCTGTTGTTGTATACAGGATTTGTTCCTCATGCATTTATATATATACACATACGATGATGAACCTTGTTCAAATCGATTAATAAATATGCAATAAAGCGAATCCAAGGTGTGTTTGTCCTTTTATGTCTGAATCAAGGTCTAAGCTTCTTGTTGATTTTGCGGGCAAATATATATAATATAACTTTCCGGTCATTATAAACAATATATTATAAATATTTAGCTTTATCTAATTGTTTTAAGGAAGTTTTAACGAAACACATCCGGTACTGTTTACTTTTTACTCTAAAAAATCACTTATGATACTATTCACTTACAACACACTTTTGTCCTTTTGATTAAAACTCAAAGTTTTCAATCAATTTTCATTAGTTTTCCTTTATTATTATGGCAAATGATGTTTTATCGCAATGGAGGAGAACAATGATGTCTATTCACGCTGGTGCAAGTTCCATCCTCACCAATTGATATCCTCTCACTAGCATTTAACAATTTAACCACTAACACTCATTTGTCCAAAAAAATAAAAAAATTTGTAATGAACGTGCATGTGGGGACACTTAAGTTGATAAAAATTGATAAATTAAGATCACATTGCTAATTAAGATTGTTAGAAATAAAATATGGAGTAAGAGAGAATGAAGATAGACAAGAGTCTTTCTTTCTCATTAGAGTGCATATTTATAGACCTAGGATTTACATAGAAAAAGGTATAACTCCCAAAAGTTAGTCATATATAATAAATCATATTTACCACACTTTTCTTTGGAAGTTCACCAATTAATGTAGTTGCCTTGATAAAATCTTGCTTGGAAAATCCAGTGGGACAAAACCTAAGCGAAGGAGAAAAATCAAGCGCAATGTTTTATGAAATATTATTAACGTGTTGGACACGAATAATGATATAGCATAAGACTCCCCCTAACGAATAACTCTCTTTGGTGAATAATTCCCCTTGAAAATAGTAAGCCTTGATTCGAATGTCGTCATTGTTGAGTCTGATATTGACAAACATTCATTTTCAACAATTGAACTTTAGTAAAGCTTGTCCTCGGGAAGTATTAGAGT